ATCCAGCACTCAAAGTATCAGAGAGTAAAAGAAAATTCTCCTAAACTCTCTCTCATGTTGAGAAACTTGCAAACTTCTGCACGAACGCAAATTTACAGGAATTTGCAAGTCTCCCTGTCAGCTGGTATCCATGGTTGCATTTCAAACATAAAAACAAAACTTTTACAGAATTTTTAAAATTCTTTCAGATGGACAAAAAACAGGATATGTATACATATATATTTCTTGTTGTTCTGATTTTTTTCAACAAACATTTCAATTTATTTATCGTACTGGCTAGCGGGTTTCTTAAATCGACTCTGGTTGCAATTGCATTCCGATTGCGAATACAATTTTTCCTCCGCCGAGTACAGTTCACGCGATTTGGGCAAAAACCATGATAATTCGTCAAACATTTTGGTTTGACTAACAGAACTAATAACTATTTGAAAAAAATTATAGGGGTTCAAGAAAATTTTAAGGTGTGCAATTTTAAAGCCGATTTAATTTTATAATAAGTAAAATAAAGTGTAAGTTTCAAGTGAAAATTTTGAAAATTTTTATTGAAACAAAATTAGTCAAATCGGTTGAAAAATTAAGGCTCGCAACTACTTTGAACAGTAAATTCCAGATTGGGTACTCTGTGTAGCATTTCATTGATATACATAATTATTCATGTCTTTATCGCCATATTTTCGCATCAAATTTCATTATCAGTAACGGTTGTGCTATCATTATACAGTAGAGAGAGATGTTAATGCTTCATATTTCGTTGTCTCTGTAATAATAATTCGTATTCGAATTCGGATCCAGCTTTTATTGCGCTGCCGGAACGCATTACCCGGTTGACACCTAGGCTTAGTTGTCATATCCGAATAACTGTTTCCCGTTTCCCAGGAGGTATGATGGTTAGTTTTCAAGCCTTTTTAGATTTGCCACCTCTGTGCTAAAATCTGTATTCTGTATTCTGCAGCTGTATTCAATTTCACTTTAAATGAGAACATACCAAAGTAGAATCGTTTCATTATGAGGAGGTCATTGTCCTGTTTTGCATTTAATTTAACAAACAGTTTCTCACTCCAATAAGTGTCCATATTGTCTACTTTTTGTAATGGAATAAATAAATAATAATGGAATAAATAAAAGGCCCTTTTACTGGCATTAAATGGTTTGACAAATATTTAAATGTTAAATAAGAATCAAAGTACTCGTATGTAGCTAAAACTCGCACGTTGCTTGCCGGAGCATTTTTCATTTACGTACATACATACATATGCACATTAGGGTGATCTAAAATAACTAACCTAACGAATTTATGGCCTTAAAAGGGCGTTTTTGTAGTCCAATTTTGAAAGGTGTCAGTGGGCATTTGAAAATTTCCATGTAAATAACATGTAAAAAATTTGTTTTCATTAAAAATGTTATAACTATTGAAAGTTTGGGATACATTTTTTTTTTCTAGGCATACAAAATTGTAATCGAACTGTGACGAAAGACGAAGAGCAAAATCAATTTCTTTTGCGGTAGTGCAATTATGTACATCGCCAGCAATATCCTAATTGCAATAAACTGAATTTCATTAATAATTTTCAAGAATATTAATGTTTTAAAATGCAATAAAAAATAAATAATAGATTAAAACTCTCTCTTCTCTGACTAATCTAGTTTATAATCAACATTTTGTACATATTTTGTATCATTTTAGTGTAAGGTTTGTTTATTTAGCATGAATATTTGCAATCATAAAGTCCTAAAACTGTACCGATATTTCTGCTTTTTTCGACTTTCATTGACTGTAAGTTTATACATTTTTGAATATAGACAATCAAATGTAGAGTAATTTTTTGAAGAGTTCAATGCCCTCCAAGAACATGCCAAGAAAACGGTTCAATAGTTATGACATTTTTAACGCAAACTAAATTTTTTTTACGTGTTATTTACATGGAAAATTTCATCGACAGCTTTTAAAATCGGGAAAAAAATTTTTGCTAATGGGAGAATTTTCTTCTCAGTAAATAGGTCCTTTTATGGCTATAAATTCGTTAGGTTGATTATTTTGGATCACCCTAATGCACATACATACATACATACGTGGATAAGCATAAGTGAGCGTAAAATCATAAAAGTATGTTAATAGCTTAGAAGAAGCAGCATACGACTACTAAGAAATAATCAATTTTGTTTTTTTTTTTGTATAAAAGCGACTTAATTGATCCTTTCCGGTTTTCAAAATACTACCTACCATCTAGAACATACATATTTATGAAGCGACGCGACTGCCGACCGAAAATAGAGAAAAAAAATCAACCACAACATTTGCATAAAATTGTATTATTTAGCAGTTTTTAGCACGCTTAGTGGCCAATATACATACACACATACATACATGCGAGGAACCAGAAAAGTTATTTACAAACATGTCTGGGGTACTATATGCATATATAGAATACTCCTAGCATACAAATATTTGCTGCAATATAATATCGAACTCAGCCGTCGATTTAATTTGAACTATGGAATGTTTGTCTTTCAAAGAGTTGGTATTGAATGAAGTTCATCTTCATATACTATTTTTTTATGCGGACGTTGCTAAGTGCTTTAGTTCAAGTGCTCCAATTGAAATTCTATTGAATTTATGCACCATCTCATTATTATGTTTGGTTTGCCATCATTTATATATCTACTACATAAATACGTACACACAATCGATTGAGTGCTTTATAAACAAAAGATAGAAAAAAGAGATCATTTTTGTAAGTGAAATATGAGACACGTTGTTTCCTTGAGCTCCTCTCAGCAAGCAAATGACCTTCACTCAAAATCTTAATTACACTACATAGATCACAGATCGTGTTAGAATTTTGTGGCAAGTGTTATTCACTGTCAGTTGCTGATCGACGAGCCTCTCTTAATTCATCAAATAAATTATACGCCCAAACCCGTACTTAAGTGTCGTTTGCATAATTCCTAGTCATGTTAAGTTGACATGTAGAGCGCTCAGATTGGCAACACGTGTACATGCTGTGCGAACTTGGAGTTGATTTTTATCGATGATAGCCGAGCAGCAGTCAATTAAGAAAAGAAGAATACTTCGAATTTTTGCAATACAAAAAGAAAAAAAAAACGTTTCCAATGTGGCATCTTTAGCTAATTTGCACTTATAATTAATAATTATATAGTTTGCTTAATATTGTATATGCATTGATGTTAACATTCACATACATATGTACAAACATGTGTATAGTATATGAGTGTACGTGTGAATTTCGATGAAAACAACCATTTATCTACATACATATACATATGTATATAGCGTTGACAAGGCTAAATGTTCAAGTTATTTGACAAAGCGTCAGTGACATTAATCAATTGCCAACACCTTGTTGACCGGTTTTTTTTGGTAAACAAAAGAAATATGTACGAATGTACAGCTTAGGGCATATTAAGGCAATCTTGTGCAATCCGATAGTTTTATTAAATTTTGTCTAATCTAATATAATCGTTGCGAGATAGAGGCAAGCTTGGGCACTGAGAAACTCCAAAACTTTTGAGATTGTGCCAAAACAGGGACAAACAGACCACCAATTTAAGAGCTGACTACCTGTTTGAGTTTATTCGCTTAAATATCTTAGAAATGCTTAACGACAGGAAAGCCACAGACTGGGATATACGAAAAGCGCTACTACGGGTGAAAGGTTAAAATAAGTGATCTAATCGATCTTGAACTAAGCTACTTATCAATAACTCTTACAGTAGGTGCTAGAAGGTAGGTGTAGAAGTCACTAAGTGTAATAAAAGAGAGACTCCATGGGGGTATATGTAGCTCTTTAATGAAGCTAAAAGGATCGATGAAAAGGAAATGCACAAAAATGCCTCCTAAGACGACCTGATGGATAATTCATGGACAGCTGCAAGGAGTCACGGCACTTTCTAGCCGAGGCGCATTTCTCTGGCTGCTCATCTCTGAGCACTACCCGAACCATCCACACGCAGACTGTGACTAAACAACCATGAGCAGAGAGCTGGAAAGTCGCCTGCAGCCTGTTATTTCACGATATAATAAACTGGGGCATATCTGCCTCAAAGCTTCTGGCGCTTATGTTATTCTCTTGTCGCTACAAAAGCTACTCAACCTTCTAACCTTTATAAAATCGCTATCCAGCGCAGAGTTAAGCTTGGGAATTCTTAGTGCTCTAATGGCAGGAAGTGATGGTCATGTACATACTCAGGGTAGTAGGGAAATTGTCATACTAACCAAAGGCAGCTTTACATCGTTCCTACTAAAAGTTGCAGAGAGGATCGCGGAGGATAAATCCTCTGCATAAATACGCAAGTAAATACTTCGATGTTCAGAGTAGGTTAGAAGACCCCATCAGCATCCACCCTTAGTAGACTAGCGTACGTAATTTTTTCTCCAGAAAAAGGAAAATACACAAGCTATATTTATTTAGGGGTAGTTTTCGACTGCATACTTTTTTCAAAATGTTTGGCCAATCTGGCTCTCGTTGCCTCAGATGTAGAGTGATCCTCATATAAATCCATTTAATCAAAGAACCAAGTTTATTTTTAAGAATTTAGAATTAAGTTCGTATGATTATTTACGCGAAATGCCGGAGGCCAGAAAACATCCATTTTCTCAATTCGTTTTAATACTTTCTAAACAGTTCCACAGACTGTATTTTTGTAAGATCTCTAAAGAAAAACTGAAAATTCCCAGACCACTCTATCTCAAGGAAGTAATTGATGAGTAATGAAAGTAAAAATTCAATATGGAAAAAAATGTTTTGAATTATTGCAACATTTTATTAATAATTTTCTAATGCAACTATTATTATATTTTTTTTTAATTACATATACAATTAAGTATAACATAAAGTTCAAACCTAGTACGTATAATTTTCGTGTATCTATAAAGTAAGTTCGTAAGTATAGTTCAATAAAAAATATACACACTGTAGAAAACATAACGATTATTATAATTGTTTTTAACAAATTTAAAACTAGAGATGTGATTTATTTAATATTGCATCCAGTGCCATGGCGATGTACTTATCTGAATATGTATGTGTATTTGATTATCTATGATTATGTAGTATACTCGTGTCCTCGTTTAAAGTGTAGTTTATAAAAAAAAAATCACATTTTGACAGCATCACAAAAATTCGCAAACGATTTTCCTTCCTTAACTAGGCTCTTAATACTACTTTGAATTCCACTTTCGGTTGTATGTATCTCAATAAACGAGTATTCATTTGTCCGCATGCGAGGAGCTACATACATACATAGCTTTTGTTTGCTCCCAGCGTCTGCAATTAGTGTCCAGTTAGCGCGCCGTTTTGGCCAAACGCATAGGCATAAACGGTCTTCACATTACCAGCTGTATGATTCCTGAACTGCTGATAGTATTCGCTCTCTTCACCATGCTTTGCCAGAGGCCGGTACTCGTATTTGTTAGTAGTACTCGCTGGCTTGCGTGTAGTTGTCGAGGCAAAAACTGTGAACTGCTCTTTGTACTTCGCAAAAAATGGATGACTGAAGGGGTCGTCGCGGTACGGATTTGTTGTTCGGATGGTTGAAGACCCGGTAAATTTCGGTTTAAGTGTTGTAGTAGTTGCTTCCGCAGCACTCGTTGCATACAAAGCGGGTCTTCGCGTAGTTACACGGGCAGTGTTTACACTTTTCGTTGTCGTCGCTGGCTGTATTTTAGTCGGAGCCCTAGTTGTGGCTGTGGTGCTATTTTGTGATTTTACTTTAAACCTTGTAATCGGAGGAGTCGTGGTAACCTTCCTGGTTGTATATGGCACTCTTGTAGTTGTGAAAGTATTCGGAATACCTGATGTAGGACGCTTCGTTACCTTCGTAGTTATCGGCGTTCTTACAGTAGTTCTTGGCTGCCGTGTAGTCGTGGAAGGATAGTAATCTAGGTGCATTTTTGTCGTCGTTGTTGTACGTTTTGTCGTCCTTTGAGTTGTCTTTGTAGTCGGTCGTGTGGTAGTTTTTGCTGCAACGGGAGTTCTTTGTGTTGTAGGCGATCTCACTGTTGTTGAAGGTCTTCGCGTGACAGCTGTATTTTCATGGTTGGAGGCAGTTTTAGTAGCGCTGACAATATTTCTTGAGGTAGTTTTTGTTGGACTTTGTTTGGTTGTTGGTTTTCTAGTTGTTGTGGTGGTTGTCGCTGGTCTATTCGTGTTGCCAGAAGTCTTGGTGGTCTTTCGTTGGGTCACTGGTGAACCATTTATGGCCAGTGTTTTAGGGATTGGAGTTGTTGTTGTGGTAGTCCATGGAGTGTTCTGTCGTTGTGAAACACCTGCATTTTTTGTGGTCAGCGGTTTTTTGGTTGACATTGTTGTTCTAGGCCTGTTCGTAGTGGCTGCAGTCTGAGCGGTTTTTTCTTTGTTGGGATATATCGGTATTTCTTGTGGTCAATGGTCTTTGCGTTGTAGTTACCGTTGCTTTTTTAGAGTTGCTGCTTTTTGCTGTAACTGGCCTCTGGGTGTTCGGCAGTTTTGTGGTCCTTGGCGTAGCAAGAGGAGCACTTGTTGTAGATTTCGTTGTTATTTGTGACTTAGTTGTGCTTGTCGTTCTTTGAGTGGAAGCCACTTTTGTAGGTTGCACTTGTGGTTGGTGATGCCAGTTCCAAGTTGGGGCTGTGCTCGGCCGTTTCGTTGTGGATATTCCAGCGAGTGTTGCTGGCTGATTTTTATTCTGCGCTCCGACACTTGGCTTTTGTATAACTGTTGCCATTGTTGTAGGTTTCTTTGTTGTAATTGTGGGCAGACTCGAATAATATTGCAATTGAGGATTTTGGGTAATCGATTTGGCAGTTGTGGTAGGTGTCGCATACGCAGCAACTGGTTTAAGCGCGGTGGTTGGAGCTTTTGATTTCAAAGGGGTCGTACGGAATACGTCACTGTTCACATAGGGTCTTGTTGGATGCAAATGCAGCTTTGTTTTTTCCGTGCTACTCGGTGTGGTACGCGATTGTTCTCGATCAGGTTTTGCGCTTGGCTCGGCACTGAAACCTTGCGTTGTGGCTGAAAATTTTTGAAGAAAAGAATTACTTTGATATTGGGCGCTTTGTTGCTTAATTTTTGGGAAAGCCGTTGATGTTTGTTTGCTGGCTGTTTCAATGTGAGTTAAGGTTGCCGACTGGTCGATGAATTTAGTTAAAAATGGGTTGGAGTTAAAGTTTAGTTTCTCAGCTTTCTGCGGCGATGTATCAGCTTGTTCATATTTACTAAGAAAGGGGTTAGAAGCCTGGGAAGCGGGTGTTGATAATGAAGTTGCAATGTTAGTACGGGTTTTGGTGCTTGGCGTGTGAGGTTCCTGACTCGGTTCAAGCGGGATGATGACAGCTTGCGATTTTACTGGCGTTGTACGGAAGACATCACTGTTCACATAAGGCTTTGCTGGATAGATATGTAGCTTCTTTTTTTCTATGCTACTCGGTGTTGTAGGCGATTGTTGCCACTCTGGTTTTATACTAGGCTTGTCACTCAAACTTTGCGTTGCGGTTGACAAAGTTTGAAGGAAGGGATTATTTTGAAACTGCGCGGTTTGTTGCCTTCTTTCTGGGGAGGCAGTTGAAGTTTGTTTGCTGGCTGTTTTAATGTTAGTTAAGCTTGCCGATTGGTCAATGTATTTAGTTAAAAATGGGTTGGAGTTAAATTTAAGTTTCTGAGGCTTTTGCGGCGCTGTATCGGTTTTTTGGTAATTAATAAAAAAGGGGTTGGAAGCGTATGAAGCGGGTGTTGATATAGAATTTGCTATGTTAGTATGGATTTTAGGCTTCGATGCTTCCTCGCTAATAGGTTGAAGGGTTTGCACTAATTGGCTTAAAAATGGATTATTAATATATTCTGTTTTTGATGAAACTGCTTCAATGCCGTTAAACGCACTAGGCGGCGTAGTAGTAGGCACACATTTTAAAGCACTGTACTGATTTAAAAATGGGTTATTTACAAATGGATGATTTAATTCGCCCTTGTGTTTGATTTTCTTGGGTAAGCTTATTGGCATTTGCTTAGTTCTGTGGGTCTGACCCACATGAATTGGTTTCTCACTCTGTCCAACTCGTTTGACTTGATGTGCCTTCTGCAATTCGTTGCTATCGAAGCAGGAACTTATCTGCTCCAATTGCTGATTGCGGCAGTTCCGATTATAAACTGTCCACGCAGTGAATCCATCGCCGGATAGACGTGTATGCTCCTCGTAAATGGTTTTCACGCATCGCACATCATCGGTTATATCGTTGTCTAACAGTTTGCTGCAGGAAATCTGACAGGCTTTGCCAGCGCCGCCATCGTGTGAGCACCAGTACAGGTCACTTATTTGGAAAAGGCCATGATCCGCACTGCCATCCGTATTGAGGCGTCCCACAGCGGCCGTATTCAAACTCGACTCGTGCTCGGCTATGCAAACCCAGGTGGGCACCTCTTCCATAGGCATTTTGTGCTTAAAGTACAGCTCCTGCGCTAACTCACATTTCTTGTATATTTTGCCTTTACCCACTACAGCGCTGGCTTGTTGTCCACTTCCAACTGTATTTGTCTCAATGACTGGGCCAGCGTGAAGTGCTTTCTGTATGTCGTCTGCTGGAAAGCATTTAGCCACACGCTGCAACTGTTGATTGCGGCAGTGTCTGTTGTAAACAACCCAAGCTGTGAAGCCGTCACCTGAAATTTGCGTGTGTTCCGCGTGTATAGTTTTGATGCACTGCACATCATCGCTGATATCCGCGTCCACCAATTTGTGACACGGAATGTTGCATGCCTTACCGCCGGAATCCTCGTGGCTACACCAGTAGAGGTCACTGATCTGGAAAAGTCCGTGGTCTGCGCTGCCATCTGCATTTAGTCGTCCCACAGCTGCCGTGTTGAAGCTAGATTCGTGCTTAGCAATACAAACCCAGGTTGGTATATCATTCAGACGCATCCCATGTTTGTAGTACAGCTCCTGCGCCAGTTCACACTCCTTGTAAATCTTACCCTTCGCCACCGCCAGCCCAGTTGTCGTTGTGTACGTATTGTTGTCATCGTGGTAGCCACCCACCTGCATTGTAGTTAGAAATTGTTCGGTCTTACTTAACTCATTGCTCTCGAAGCAGGCGGAGACCTGTTCAATCTGCTGATTGCGGCAATTCCTGTCGTACACCGTCCACGCTGTGAAACCATCGCCCGAGATGCGCGTATGCTCCTCGTGTATTGTGCGGACGCACTTGACGTCGTCGGTTATGTCGGAGTCGAGTAGCTTCGCGCACGGAATGTTGCACGCCTTGCCGCCAAAGTTGTCGTGTGAGCACCAGTAGAGATCGCTTATCTGAAAGAGGCCGTGATCCGCGCTGCCGTCACCGTTGAGACGCCCAACTGCTGATGTGTCGTAGTTGGACTCATGTTGGGCGATACACACCCACGTAGGTATATCCTGCATTGGAAACTTGTGTTTAAAATACAATTCTTGAGCTAATTCACATCGTTTATAAACTTTACCCTTGTGTTGTTGTGTATGGTGTGGCTGTGTGTAAGTGTTTGGGGATGTGTATTGTTGAAGTGTAGGTGTGGATTTTGGTGGGACGCCACTGTGTTTGAGGAAGGGGTTGACTTGGTAAGCGTGTGCGTGTGGTGTTTGGGAGGAGAATGTTACGGGTGAAGTAAAAACGTGCGTTTTAGCTGGCTGTTGAAGCGTTGAGTATTGATCCTTGAAGCACGAGGATACAAATTCATACTGCTGGTTGCGGCAGTGTTGGTTGTAGACGGTCCAGGCGGTGAAGCCATCACCAGAAAGACGCGCGTGTTCACCGTGTATGCGCTTGACGCAACGAACATCGTCGGTTATGTCGTTGTCCAGGAGCTTGGTACACTGCAGACCACAAGCCTTGCCACTGCCGTAGCGATCATGCGAACACCAGTAGAGATCACTGATTTGGAAGATTCCATGATCGGCGCTGCCATCCGCATTCAGACGTCCCACGGCTGAGGTGTCGAAGTGAGATTCATGCTGCGCGATACAGACCCATGTAGGAATTTGCTCCATTGGCGTTTTATGCTTGTAGTAGAGTTCTTGCGCCAACTCGCAGCGATCATAGACCTTGCCACGTTTATGTGTTGAATAGCTACTGCTGATAGAGTTCGAATGTACTGCCAGCGCGGTGGGTGTGTAGAATGGGCCTGGGGCGCTTGCGAAGGGGGTGTTTGCAACTGGTTGTTGCGCCGAAGGCAGTACGCGTTGATTCGAAAAACAATCCTGTACGTAGGCCTCGACACCATGGCGACAAAACTGTTGGTATGCATTCCACGCGTTATAGCCGTCTCCGGAGAGACGTTGATGCTCGTCGTAAATAATACGCAAGCAGCTCAGATCATCGGTCAAATCAGCGTCACGCAGCCGTTCGCAGGGCAGATTGCAGGCGAATCCCTTGCCAGGTGGCGAACACCAGAACACATCGCTAATCTGGAAAAGACCATGCGAGCCACCAGCCAGACCTCCCGCGTAGGCCTCTGTGTTGAAATCGCTCGAGTGCTGAGCGATGCAAGTCCATGTTGCGACCTCGTGCAAATCCAGGCGGTGTTTGTTGTGCAGAACTTGCGCCAATTCGCAACGATCGAACACCTTGGCATTGACGCTGGCACCAAAAGCTAGAAGGAAGCAAAAAACCCGCGCGAAAAACTCGCCAATGAACAGAGAGTTGCGTGCGCGCGCAGCTGCCGTACGATACGCTATCATTTTGAAAGTGGCACAAAAGAGCGTGGAAGCAGCTTTTAATATTCCCGTAAAGCGGCCACGAACGCCGTGCGTATGCTCGCGCGCACAGTCGCCTTTGGCGCAAAATCTTTCACCGATTTCGACTAGTTTCTTTAGGTGTTAGGCGACTCTTTTCACTGCGCACATAAATTAGCTAATAAATTCAGGGTAATTTGACGAAGTGGGTTAGCTAATTTTAATCGCCCCAAAGCTTATTATGTTTTATTGGCTACTAATGCCAGGGCTTCTTTCTTCACGTTTGCTTGTTTTCACGCTCGCGTCTCGTTCAATACTGATTTCAGTGATGTCTCGCGTTTATATGTCCAGCTCACTTTGCGCATCGCATCGCATCGCATCGCATCGAACTGCCATCTATCTGTCCAGCCATTCAGGTACACTCAGATTATTTATAATTCAGCCACGCTCAGAGTTTGAGCCACGGAGTTGTTCGTATTTGTGGCTAGCCACCAGTCAAACAGGCGTTCAATTAGGCAGTCAGTCAATCCAATCAGTGGGGCAGCATTGTAGAGATGCGCGCAATGCGCATAAACACAGAATAACAAAAAAAAAAAAAAAAAACTGGTTAATCAGCAAGCGAACGCGCGATAGGCGAACTGTCTGCTTTATCAATTGATATCTTGATATGGATATCGTGTTGTTGGCGTGGCCATTGATTTATTCATATTGCATAATATCGTTGATTCTTTTCTTGAATTTTGACTTGTGTACATTTAATTTTGAAGTCTGGCTTTTCATTACTATCGACAGAAATTTCAGTTTATTTTGTATTATTTATTTTTATTCGCGCTCTTTAATTTTGATGTTATCCAATTCAAGTTTGACGCCAAAGTATGTCAGTTAAAAGTATACTTGCGTTAAACCTGATACTATGATCATTATTTTCACTTAGAGATAACAAAAGTAGGTAATGTATTGGTCACAGAGTCCATAACTGGAATTTTACAAATTTACAAAAATTTACAAATAAATCTTAAAGCACTGACTTACCACTGAACTCAACAATACAGTTTGTGCTTTTACTATCTTCATTTTAGAGGCCTGATTAGAGTTATGCCGATTTTCCACTAGGCATTGAAATGACAAAAAATTATGCCATTTATGAAAATGCCATGCCATGTGGAAATGGACTTAATGACTATTTTTTTCAAATAATGGCGCGATAACTTTTTAATGCCCAACTTTGTCATTTGCCATTTTAGCCATTCAATGCCTAGTGGAAATCCAGCATTAGACGTATTAGGAAAATCTAATAACAAGGTAGCGAAAAATGTGGGGTTCTATTCAGAGGAGTCTTGAGTATAAACCATCCCTTTCGGGGTATTTAATTACACTCTCAAGCGGTTTTACTTACTAAGTCAGATTACCCATATTTTTTTGATATTTGACCAGATCTTCTTAGAAACCATCGATGCAAGATGTTTTCGATAACGAGACGCTTGCATTACGCGTACAGTTAAGTTAAGTTAGGAGAGCGTGGGTGGTATATTCCGTCCTTTTATCCATTATGTCCATTGTGAGTGCCCTCTTTAAGTGAGTGTCAGGAGGATATACGTACCTATAATCGAAAGAGTAGCTTTAAGTCATTGTTATACTGAACCGATTACTATCTCTGATGAAGAAGAGGAGATCCAACAGCTCCACCTCCCCTACCTCGCCCGGACTGTTGAAGAAGCGTGAACTCAAGTACTCGAGTCGCTTTGTCTGTAGACCTGGACATCGACAAACTCAGTGGTCAATTGACTCTTCCTCATCCTTATCATGGTAGCATCTGCAGATATTACTTGTTGGTATTTTTCTCCATTGAAGCATTGATGCTATAGGATAGTGTCCTGGGATGACGCCGGTGAGGACTCTTAGTGCAGATCTATTGAGTTTCATTATATCCCCTGTCTTTTCTACTAAGCCGCGGTCATAGTTATCTTGTGGCCTCCCGTTTGTTCCACAAGTCATTAGTCGCGGCTACGGAGTATTCATTAATTTTTTAGCGTGATCACTAAACTGTGGTAGCACCCGCTTCTACTATTAGCATCTCTATAGCGTCGATCACCGCTTGGAAGACAGTGCAGTTGTACGGTAGACGAAAAGACCGGTTGATCTGCAGGTCTTTCGAGTAGACACCGGCTCCGGTTCCTTGTTCCATGTTTGAACCACCAGCCTTTCTGCTACTGACAGTCCCGCATCCCATTCTTCTCGGGTCGGCAACCTAATTAATATCTTCGTATTGAAGTCCCAAACAGGCGTAATGTTGTCAGTGCTGCCTTCTATATCAGCTTCGATTTCGACTTCGAACCCAGAATAATTTCAAAGCATTTTGCCTCGGAGGAGAGTTTTAAAGAAGATTCCCCTAATTTCGGCGGAGGAAAAGTGGGTACTTTTGTTTTCCTTGTAAACAATACCAGTTCTCTTTTGGAGGGGTTTACACCCAATCTATGCAGGTTGGCACACTTAGAGTTATCACCTAGTGCACTCCCCATTAGTTCACTTATCGTTGACAGGAATTTGCCAGTGATGAGTGTCACAAAATCGTTGGCGTAGGCGACAACCTTTGTCATTTTAGGTTTGAAAGTCTCAGGAATTTCTTTCACCACTAGGAGCCAGCATAGAGGGGATAGTACGCCTTCTTGAGGTTTTCCTTCTAACAGATCCTGTGCCTATGGTGGCGTTAATTATTCTTCTTTTAGCATGGAGTCAATTCATGCCACCATAGGATGCTGAATGTCGTGCTAACAGACAGTCGCCCCCGTTCGGACATTACTCAAGGCATACAGTTAACTGAAGATAAATTAGTTCCTACACTTGCGTGTCCCTCTAAGTTTCCTGATATGTCACTGTGCCAGTTTCAGGACTAAAGTTAATAAGGCGCAGATTTGTAAGTTTCACTTCTCCAGTGTGGCCCAGGCGCTCTTAATTTTTTTGATTAATGCGCTACCGGTTTCATCGTTCGCCAGAAGTGGAATAGACTGGCGCCACTTTGCGTTAATTGGCTCCTAATAAGAAGTTCAGGCTCATTTATAAATACTTTAAGCAACTACTTTTTAATGCTTTGTAGACAATCCTAAATCAGGCGGTCTACTCTGTATTGCGATTTGAAAGGCGACACGGTCTTATACAAATGCATAGTGCAATTATTGGAATTATATGGATTTGCAATACAAAGTAGAACCCAGTTCAGAAGCTTGAAGTGAATATATGTGTCTCAAGTAGTTCGCTAAATTTTTTCTTACTCCACAGCGCATTTCCTTAGCGTTCTATATTTATTTCAGATTGAATGCTCTTCAGTTTTAATACTTTCACGAAAGTGTTTTCTTCCATATCTATTTATTCTAAGCGGATTATTAATGCCAAATCTAAGAACCGCTAATAACCAATCTTTTGCTAATCGAAGACGAGCAAAATAACCAGTTTGCACAACAGTCGCATTCATTATCGCCTTTGACTCTATGCCGTCTGCCGTAGAAAAGCTCACAATTCAACGCTCAACACTTAAGCTGTAAACACTTCATATGCATATGCATACTTGTACGTACATTTGTATCTAAATAAATGAATTGATTCATAACTTATGACAGACAGCTCTCAGCGGTAAGCTTCTAGGACGGTTGAAAGCATTACTACTAGTTAGCAGTTGATTTGTGTTATAAGTCGTCTTCCGAACTAACAGTTATAATTGAGGTGTGCTAGCGAGTATGAAGGCATACTACATGTATCTATGTATGTATGTATGTATGAGCGCGAGTGTGTCTTTGTTAGTTGGTGATGATTAGCTACCCATTGGGGGGGCCAGCGATGCCAATCAGTCTCTGAAGAGCAGCACGAGTGCTGTATTTGAGCCTGTGCCGCTACATCTCTGAGACACAAATATTTTTGTTGCTACAGCAAATCGTCGCAATAGGCTGAGTGTTGTGCGCGTGCGTATGTGCTGTGGGTGTTCAATTATATATAGGCCACTTGTATCGTCTTTTTACACTTTTATTTGGTTGCACGTCGACAGCCGCCTGCCTAACCAGTCTAATTTCAAGTGGCATTCTAAGCATGCTGATGCGAATTCTTTGTGAATACTTCTTCCCTCTACCTCTGTCTCTCTCCCAGCATCTTCCGTCCGTCCGTCCGTCCGTCTGTCTATGTGTAGGCTAGTTGGTTGTTTAACAAAAATTAGATTTTATTTCCGCACAAATTATGAATTAATGACTTGTATAAGCTAGTAATTTGCAGTTGAGCATCTAATCATTTTTCTTATTATTGCGCCTGCGTTTAGCTAATTTGTTTGTTTTCTCAGTTGTTGTTAAGTACTAAAGCGCGCTTCATTGTTTTATGGCTTAACAAATATACATACCTACCTACATACGTACATAGTATGTTTGATTTATTTCGACGTTTTTCATTAAATAGCGGGCGTTCGCTGCAAATCGACTAAATACGCTTTGTTGCTTAGCGCAGATAGTTAACGCCTCTATATTGATAATTTTTCTCACGTTAATAATGAGTCCATTGAAGCAGGCGAGAGTCGATTAAGGCAGGCGAGAGTGGCGATACCACGCATGGTAAGTATCGTTGAAACATTTAAATATATGGCAATTTGACTTGCAAATTTCTTTAATGTCTACCTATCTAATCTAATTTCGCATTGAAGGGAATAGCGTGAAGAGAGAAATGTGTTATTAATATCAATTGGGGTGTTCACAGTTCGTTCCAAATAGTGTCTCAAAATGTAGACGTCTACATTTTAAGACGTTTTCTAACCGTAAAATCTGTGGTGTTGTTGTTTCCCATACAAAATTGGAAAACGACGCCGTCTACATTTTGTCACACTCAAAGGTATGTTTTTTACGCGTCTACATTTTGCAACCTCGCAGCAGGGTTGCATTATGGCAATACTAATCACATTTTTTTTTAAGAAACAAATCAAGGAAAAGAAATAACAAATATTACGAATTGGTAATTAAGTTAAATAATTACAATTTTTCAGAAACAAAATCGAAAGGCGGCATATAAAAAATGCACGCAGGGAAGAAATGTCTGGCAACACCAACACAAGGCAACACAAGGGGTGCTCACAGTTTGATGCTAAAGATGTCTCAAAATGTAGACGTCTACATTTTCAGACACAATTTGGAACGAACTGTGAACACCCCAAATGTATAATGTGATAATTTGCACTGGCTAGCCTTGAATAGTTCAAAGGCAAATCACCGGAGGTCAACCCTCTCCACAAATACATATACATACATATGTAGCACAACAAGACCAATAAACCTTTGCATCATACATATTTACTAATATTTTGGATATTAGTTGAGTGTATAAAATGACGTACAAGAATTGGCTAAGAAATTTTCTCGAGTCAAATTTCCTTAAGGCAGTACGCAGTTCTTAAGAAATTTACTACGCTTTCTACTACGGTTTTTGTAAAGTTTTTTTGTGAAAAAAGGTACAAGGCAACCCAGGCTTGCAACAGAAATTATATGCCCGTTCCATTATTTCTTGAGGAAAGAGTGAGGCAACAGGCTGATGAAGTATCAGATGATGTCAAAATTCCTTGGACACACACACACACATACGAAATAATGGCAAATTTTTCTTGACCGGTTTCTTGAGAGCTGCATACAGGCCTTTAGAGATGTTGGTCATATGTACATACATACATACATATATGAAGGAGTCTCTATGAGATTGTGGGGATTGTCTTTGCGCGCTGCTTTATCATAGCGAAATTATTTTTTAAGTAATTCAGAAGAAACAATTTAATGACTAAAGATTATGTTAATTATTCAAACTCTTTTTGCTGCCTATGTCGTAACTAATTCCGCGAATCTAATTCTACGATTGCTTCGATTATCGTTGCTAATGGGATACGGCTGGCAGCTGCAACGTGTATCTTCAAAACCAAACATAGTTAATTTTTTTCAGGATAGGGAGACACGTGTTATGCAAAATTTGGTTGTAAAATTTGGATGTGTAATGCAAATCGATTTTTATTTTTACATTAGAACATGTTAAGTTATGTATAGTAAATCTATCCGCAATCGCAGCTCTAAATTGTAGAAAGCATGGGAATGATGTAAAGATTGTGTACCTTTACCTGCCTACACTTAAGTAAGGCTGGATTTTAGCTAAATTTATAATTTTTTTTATGGCAGCCTATTCATTGTTCTAGAAATTAGATAGTGAAGCAAAGCAAATGGCTCTGGTCGTAAAGTTTCAGCACATGCATGTCTAGGCCCCAATGTTACTGTGGACAGTTGTAATTTTGAAGTTGTTGAGGGCATCGTATACTTGAGAACCACTATTAACACTGATAATAATATCAAACTCGAAATTAAACGAAGAAAATGCTCTTCTCAAGAAGTGCTACTCTGAAGTATAACTTGAGCGGTAAATTCTACTCCCGACGAACCAAAATCACACTTTATAAGTCTCTCATCATGAACGCCCATCAAATGAGTTGGGGACGGGACATATATGGTAATTTACGCATTTGTGAGGGCGAGGATCGCAGACGATGGAGCGATAAGCCATAAGACCTTTACAACAACATCGATGTGAATGAAGACAAGACGAAGTACCTTCCGGCAACATGTCTACTCGTTTCGTAACACACTTCACTGTTGGCAGCTATAACTTTGACGTAGTGAAGGACTTTGTCTACCTAGTATCCAGCATAAACACCACCAATAACGTCAGCCTGGCGATCAAGCGAAGAATAACTCTTGCCTGGCAAGTGCTGCTTTGGGCTCGGTAGGCTATTGCAAAGTAGAGCCCTCTCTCGACGAACAGAAATTACGCTCTACCAATTCGTCATGCCCTTCTATGTGGCGCGGAAATATGTGGCTCAAATTCGTATAGGGGAGAGGCAATTGGAGAAGATTTTTGGTCTCGACCCAAACCGACATTGTGTTCATTGGTAATTTCGACAGTCAGTAAAGCAGGGAGCACACAATTTGTACATTTGTAGAGATTTTGCCATTTTCACCGTTACGGAGTGGTGTTGTTTGGGAAGTTATTATTGAGCTGAACTCATTCTCGATAAAACTTTCTAAACAACACCACTCTGTGACTGCCAAATTTACAAATAGGGTGATCCCTGCTTAAGAAATTCGTTCAATTTCGCCACCGAGTCACTTTACTCATTCCATAAAAAATATATGCAGTACATATACTACTTCTGTTAAAACTAAAATTATAAGTTGTTTGCAATCGGTTGTGGAATTATCTACAAATTTGTTGTTAAGAATTTTCTATAAAAAGTCAATAGCTCATGTTACCTTAGGGAATTTCTTGCGATGTTTAAATCAATTAACAAAGTTGTGAAGAAATTCATTTTAATTAACACAACTTAAATGGTCTTAATTTGGTAAACAAAAATAGTAAAAGCATTTATTCATTAACCTGCTACCCTTAAATTAAATTGATAAATTCTTGTTAAGCGAAACCATGGAAATCGTAGAGAATATATATCGAATTATCGTGAATAACGACGTGCAAATATAAAAACAAGTTTCAGCAGAGAAATATTTTTTTAAATTGCGTGAATTACCTAAACTTTTTTATCATACGTTAATGATTGTGTTGTAAAATAAATAAACATAAAGATACATTGCTTGAAAGGAACTAAAGTTATTTTTCAACTAAGAATATTTACAAACAACAAAATACATTGAAGTTTTTTCAGCTTAAAAAATTATAAAAGAAAAATATGAAGGATTGAGATATACATACGTACTAGAGCTCTTGTTAACAGTCGATTATCCGGTTAATCGATTATTCGAATAGTCGAGTGGCAACTTTTGCATTGACTGAAAATCGAATAGCAAGTATTCGATCGTTTCATCAACTTCGACTAGTCGTGCATTATTCGAATAGTGAAAGTTGTTTAAATACAAATTTTTTCTCACTTCAAAACAAAAAATTTGCTTCATTCAAAATGAGTTTACGTAAGCGTAGCTGGGTGTGGAACTTCTTTTCTAATTCCGAAGGTGGAAAAGAAGTCAAGTGTTCAATATGTGGACAAAATATAGCCTATAATAATTCGACATAATCTTTGGCAACCCATTTGTAAGCCATTCATAAGAGGAACAAGGAGCAGGACCTGGAAATGTATGTTTATGTTAACGAACTAATAACTGGTAATTTTCCATAGTTTATCCTCCCCAGGACCACAGATGTAGCCAATAGTGAATGCACCGAACCAACCCCGGCAAAAAATGTCAAGCGTAGAAGAAAAAACGAAGATGGCGAAACTATTTCAAACGAGTGCCAAGAGACCATTTCTCGTGCAATAGCACGATTAATTGCAACAAATATGTTACCCATTTCTCTTGTTGCAACCCTGGTTTCCATGAGTTTATGAAGGTGATGGATGCACTTTGAATTTTGCATATTTTGCTATAAGTCACGTATTCATCTCCATCATAATTCATGCAGTACCACACCATTTTTGGTACTATAAATATTCAAAGCCTATCAACCGCAAAACGTATGAAATATTGAAAGAAAACAACTATTCAAATAGTCGAATCTGTCAAGTAATCGAATGAAAACAACTAGTCGATTATGAACGGTTAGTCGAAAGTGAACGGTTAATCGATTAATGGTATTCGATTATTTTTTGAAACCACTTTTTCTATTCGATTAACCGATTAATCGGTTAGTCGATTAACAAGAGCTCTAATATATACATACATATGTATCTATATAGCTCTCCTCATGCCAGTCCCATAATTTCTTAGTGTTATCTTATCTCTCCTTATCCTATTATCTTCCAAAATATCACGATGTAGAGAGCATTCTTGCCACTTGCCCAAAAATATATTCTTCAACCACTAATAGAGCTCACACTTACCAAGACACGTTGTTAGATCCAAAGCGCCTGCGTATAGGCAACCATTCTTTCGTTTTATCACATTCGCCAGCTTGTCCACGCAAAAGCATTCGTTGTCGTGCTCGGGACCAATGTCGTTGATGAAATTCTCACCGATTGAGTAGCGAAAACCCGGTATGCCCTGATATTGTATGTCGCTCTGATAGAACAATTCCACCGAACGGCAGATATCCGCGCTGAAGATGTACATTGAATCGCCGCGTTTGCGGAATGGCGGATACGACGAAGCGTCAGTGCCATTTATTTGATTGCACATTGAAGTCTCGCCCTCCGAACCATTTAGCCACACCTGCAAATTATGTGAATCGTCCAATTTTTGTATTTCCAAGACGCGCCGGGCATCTCCCTTACCGGTGTGCACCTCGTAGACCTCTTTGCCTGTGCCGTTTTTCTGTAACATCAAAAAATGAAAAAAAAACAATGAAAAGAAAAACATTAGCATCGGCCATTGAAGCATGCAAATATGTACTACTGTAATTATAAGTACTCACGTGATTGAAGAACGAAAACGCCAAACTGCCATCACTCATTTCGCGTATTGTCTTCGAGCCGCCTTCTTTGATCTGGTTGCAGATGGCCTTGGCAATGCCATTCGGATTGATGCAGAAGCGCACGCCGTCAAAGAGGAATTCGCGCACTGTTGTATCGAGAAACATTGACTTCGGATCATTGAAGACAGCCTTCAGATTCGCATTCAAGTGGACGAGCAGCAGCGATAAGCCCGGATCGTTTTCCGAAATCTGCAGCACCGACTGAAATTTATATCGATTAAATGTACATACATACACACACATTCATTTATGCATCGTGGTGTGCGGGTGTATGCGTGTGCCGCATGATTATACAAAACTTAATTAGTAGATAATTATTGCGTTTTTTAGTACATATTTCAAAAGAGAGCCAAGCTCGAGCTTTATTACTTCTAAATGCCTCATTTTCATGCTTATTTACAGTTTCATTTCCGATCAAAGCGTTTAATTACCAAGCATTCAATCAATCTACCGAGCACCGTAACCAAAGCAAACGAGAGTAAATATGTAATTGGGGGCGGGGGGCATAAGTGTGGGATGGGGCAGGGGCGCGCAAGCGTGTTAATTGCAATTTCAATTTAGTAAAAAAGCATATACTTAATATTTTAATTACGGTATAGAATTAAACGATTTCTCGCATTTAAGGCGGGATTTGAGTGTGATAGCCTTTGAAACAAACATTTCCATGTTTTTATATATACGTATTTGTTTATGCAAAGACAACAACTTGGCATGTGTCCAACAAATGCTATAGGCGATTTTAGCAATTATTAGTTGTTTATTTTTTTTTTCAAATAATTTGTATGTATACGTGCTTGAAACAAATGGATACGCCAATCAAGGGTATCCACTTGGGAATCAAAGTTTCACATCTATGACATTTGTAGGTAATATGTATGTATGTATGTATATAGAAATGAAGATGTCAAAGTTTTTGCATGTGAGTATGCAATTAAAATTAATCAGGACGGCTGACAAGCAGGTAACTGTGTTTTCGGGTGACAGCTGAACTTGAAGAAAACTTGAACTTCATCAACTAAAAAACAGAGAGTCTCGTCAACCACTTACTTTTACATCATTTAATATATCGACGAATAGGCTGTGTAGCCACTTGTAGGGTTCTATACATTTTTTTTTACAAAATCAGCATAAAAAGTAAAATAAAAAATGATATTATATAATTTTTGCAATTTTCAGAGTATTCTTAATTTGTTCAGTGTCAAAAATGAGTTACGATGTGTCGCAAATTGATTAATGCTATTTAAATGGCAGCATAATTATTTTTTAATTATGTTTTGGTAAAGGATTTACACATCGGAGTAGCCAGAATGAAATTTAGGGGGGGGGGGGGATTCTCGACCCAATTAAGCTGGCATTTCAGGGTACTATTTTATATGTATATAAGGAAAATTTGAAAGTTAGTGGGGGGGGGGGGGGGGGATCGACCCCCCCCCCGCCCCTACCTGGCTACGCCCATGGATTTACATAAGTAGTGATTAGACAACAAAAACAGAGGTGCATATCGCGCACACCCTCCTCAAAAGGGGCACAATTCAAAATTTTTGCATAAATCAATTCGTAGGATTTATCCACAATTAATAAAAGTATTTTTTTCTTCAAAATTATATTCTCTAACTAAATAGAAAGTACTGGTATACCTGTTTTGGTTTTAATTGCGTTGAATCTGTACGATCCACAAGCATTTATGTTTCCAGATCTGATTCTTGAGTTATGCCTCTTCTGAAGAGGGTGAGCGAAGTACTATTTTTTGAGGCTACATTAATGTATGCATCCGGAATAATATTTATGTAAGCACGTATGCACTTATAAATGAGAATTAAAGCGAGAAAAGAATAGCTTCAACCAGAGAAAATGATAAATAGGATATCTTAATAAAGCGAACTTCATAGAAAATTTGAGGGGCTGAGTAGGTTTCCTAGATACCAGGTTGTCTATGTAGGTACATATCGACTGCTGAGTGGAAGATCGACCTGCCTCGGCAGCCAGTTCGAAAACGCCCTATCTCCAAAAAACTTTTCAAGAACGCCCTATTTCAGAATTTAATTGAAAAACACCCTATCTGAAAATTCGGTTCAAAAACGCCCTACCTCACTGCAAAATGTATTGAAAATATGCTGATATAGGGCGTTTTTGAATCGGCAGCTGAGATAGGACGTTTTCGAAAAGTTTTTTGAGAGAGAGCGTTTTCTATTGGCTGCCGAGATATGTAGGTCGATCTTCCACTCAGCCATCGATATATAACTTCATAAAAAACATCACAGCTAAAATTTTAACTTATAGAGTCGAAGTTTATTTTAAAACTAACAATTTATTCTTGACCCGATTCCATCATACGTATTGTATTTTTAGTTTTTTTTTAAGTTACTCCTGAACTTATTTTCTTTATTGGCTATTTTCAACAAAATGGCCAAGCGAAATATATCCATTTAAAATGTCGGTATATGTATATTTAAAACACAGACATAATAGTCAAGTAGATACTATTAAAATGTAAATTAGGATATTTTTATTTATCACAATTTGCATTTGCACGTTTTTATGGTGCTTGAGTTTTGTATAAACTTCAGCTGGTTTGTCCAGATGTGGCATACGAATTAGCATTTAAAGTAGAAGAAGGATAGGAAGCTATTCTTCAATTAAAAAAAAAAATACGTTTGTCTGACTGCAATGTATGTATGTATGTATGGATATTTAAAAATTATTTATTGAAAATAGAGCGCTGTTTTTTTTTTTTAAAATGAAAGTATGACAGATCTAATGAAAGCGAAATTATTTGAGCTTGTTTTCGAAAGATCAGAATTTGAATTTCAAGATTTCTAATTGTCTATTGTTTTGAGATATTTTGGATTTATATGTGGTAGAAGTGGAATATAGAAAACATTTGCAGTGCACTGGCTATTGAGCTGTAATGGCGCCGGCAAGTAAAAACTTCACTTCAACTGAGACTTTTGGCCTAAAGAACGTACCTATGTATGTACGTAGTTACATATCTAAAAGCACAGTTAGACGACGGCATTGATCAATTAATTCCAAAAATAATTCCGATTTAACGAGTTTTGGGGGGCTTTACCTATAATTTGAGCTATAAAACTTGAAAAGCAGTTTAATAGTTTTAGTTTTATAAGCAAAAGTGTAAAAATGTTCCTATGCCGAAGCCCTACGGTCTGGCGAATACTATTTGCTGGCCAAAAGTCGGGAAGTAACCAACTGATTTGATCAAAGTGGCTGATTTCAAATCTGATATCAGAATTTTGAAATTCCAAATTCAAAATCGAAATAATTTTAAGTTTGAAATAGCATACCATAATTTTGCTATATGTATATTTTTTTTCTTATCATAGTTGCTTCAAATAAAAGCATGTTCCTTTAGATATAAGTATCACGAGTGTTTGTGTATTTGCATTAATTTGTACTTATTTATATGAAAGGACACTAGCACAACAAGTATATTACTTAAAATTAGGCTAGGTATTAAGTTAAACAAATAACGTAACGTAAAAGTTTGAACAGAAAATGCAGAACTGACTTTTGACCAGCAAATATTACCTGACAGACCATAATAGTGACAGTGACAGAAATAATAGGCTCGCCTTATTTTGACCAGATTTGGCTTTAATGTTTAATATCTTAAAAAAAAAGTAGCAGTAGTTAAACAACAAACACCATATAAATCCACATTTCAATCTTGGTACAAAAATTATAAGAATTTGACAAATATTCACCAAAATTTAAACTTTTTACTCAAAATTTTTAGAAAATTTTCTGGTATGCAGATTTATAGCTCATTCGATTTTAACGCATCAAAGAGCAAGATTTAAGTGGCTACGAAATACTGTTGATTTTCACTCTTTTTTCTGCTGGGTTTTGCCATGCAAAGTATGTTCGAATTTTTTTTATAACTTTTTCTTTAATAATTCGGAAGTTTACTGGTATTATTCGTACGTATGTACGTGTATATATAATTATTTAAGCAATGCGAGTGTTTATTTGTATGATTGACTACCTTTACCATACCAAAAGCGCTACTGTATGTACATATTTACGTATGAAATTTCCTAATTCTACGGGTTATGCGAATATGTTTTGATACGCTTGATATGATATGTCTAGTATGTTAAGTAAATACATCTACAGAGAGGTAGTAATGATTAGTATGTGAGCCAATGCAATAACCAATTGTTGTTACAATTAAATATGTATGTATGTATATTAAATGTTAAATTGAATTTTCCATTTCTTTGTATGTATTTAAGAAAAATTTACTTTACGTTTCCCACGTATGCGCTCCATCAGACGTTTCAATATACGAACGCCTGGCGTATGGTTGAGCCTGTGATTTAATCTATTCGCAAAACCCTGAAAGATATCAGTAATTTCCCTTTCGAATACTTGTAAAAATGCCTGCAAATAATATACAGACAAAGAACTTATTTTATTGAATTGCTAGCAAGGGTACTAGATGCTCTACCAAACATTGGAGCTCGAAAGAAATATTATTATTGGCAGTGTTACCGTTGTGCGACTAAAGTGTCAAATTGACACTTTTTGGAGATCGATGCGCCCTGACACCGACTTTTAACATTAGGCTTATTTTAAAACTTTTCCAAAAAATCGTGCGACCTTTGCTCCTTTTCTTTGTTTTAAAATTCCATATACACATTTTGACAATTCCTTCATAAATTAGATTTTTTCTTACGTGTTTAAAAATGTTTTAGTATTTACTTTTCAAAGGCACTTAAAAATTACACCTCTGGCCAAATTTGTACTGAGTTCAACCTTTTTATTATGTCAAACGTTTTCCGAATAAATGTCCCGAAGTAGAATGAATTAATGCCCCGTTTTTGTAGCTTAGAATTTCCCCCAATTTATTTGTGTTAAATTTATTATTTATTTAATGATGTAAGTACTTTTTTAACTGCAATTTGGTTTTCATACTAAATGCAAAATATGCATATTGCGTCTTTTTAATATGTCCCTCATCAATGGGTTATTATTTTAAGAGAAAAAACTATTTTTGGCAGAAAATGATGATCATCATTAATAAGTTATTAAAAATAATGAGGCATAGTCACAGATGCAATAAAGCCTACTCTAAGTAGCTTTTTTTGCAGATTTTCCGTTGAAAAAAGCTAAAAATAACGTTAGGGTCGATTTTATTTCGACTATGAATATGCCCTAATGAGTTTCGAAAGGTAAAATAATGAAAGTCGTTACATACAATGGTATAAACGATTCGAATGACTTGAAGACACTTTTTTTCGGCTGTGACACCTTTTTTGCCACTTTCGAAAAATTTTCAGCGGTAACACTGATTATTGGCATCATGCTTCCAAATATAGATAAATGTTCAATATGAATAGTGATCATTTATTTATATAATTTCCTCAAAATGCTTTAAGTTGAATGTAAACAATGCCAGTAGAAATTAATTTCAAGATCCAATGTAAAGTGAAGCTTTGGGAATAGAACTTCATTTATTGCCAATCGTATATGTATGTACATAAATATAGTAGCTTACATTCATATGCATATTGAGTACGACAATATGATCGGATTGGGTGTATGGTGCTGACGCCTCCTCATCAAACTCGAAATGCTGGTCCTGTACATAGCTGATTTTAGAGCCATCGCGCGAAAAGTGTTTTACTTTTTTCCGTCGATATTGCCTAGAAATTTGAGCAAACGAATTAAATTAAAGTGGCCGTAGTAAATATTTATTAACCCACAGTCGCACTGGGTTACCACTTACCTGTATACATAGGGTCCTACTTCCTGTACAATTGGTATGGCGCCTTGTTGTACCTTCTGCGCATTGGTCACATTGAAGATGTACACTTTGAAGATCAATGGCTGTGGGAGTTGTACGAATCGCTTATACTGCTCCGAGCCATCAGCAATAATTACATTCTGGGGAGAGAAGAGGTTGAGAATTTGAGTGGTGAAAATTTAATCAATTGTGCGATATTTAAATTACTGAATAAATTTTTAATGCAATTAATTAAATAGGAATGTGATCTACCTGATATCAAAACGGGGTCATTATCTGTAATTAGTTTGTGATATATGGACACGGTAATGGGGGATAAACGAGACACGCTAATGAAGTGTATGCATTAGGGTAGCCTAATTAATGCGAGAAAAGTAGGCGCTCACATTCAAGGCATAACAAATAAAGAAGAATCCTAAATGGTTGAGAAAAAGTAGTTTAGTTTGTTTTCATGTTTTCTTTTTCAAGAGAATTTATAAAAAAGCCAATCAATTATACTTTAGTCGCCGTTTCGATCACTTGATAACAAATTGTCGTAACGTTAAAAAACTTGGCTTTTTACTTTTTTTTTTAGCAAAAAAGCTGATAGTTGTTTGCATTTTATTTTGATGCAAAAAACATACAAAATAAAAAAAATTGCTTGGTATTTTTTGAGCAGAAAAACAATCGTAGAAAATATAGAAATTCAGTTTTTCAAGGATATCGAAACATATAGATTTTCGAAGGTCGTTTTCCGTTTTTTTTAACATCTTTTACATGCCTTTAAAAGCTTAATTGTCAGTGTCAGTTTTGTAGAATTAGAAGTTGCCGCTCTTCGCAAGATCACCAGCATTGTTGTTCGATGACTTTGTTCCAAAGAAATATTTTGCAACAGTATTTAGGTATGCTTGAGTTAAACTCTTCGAGCACAAAGAACGTTTCCGTCTTCCTGATCCCCCATTGATCGGCGAGGTGGCTCCGTAGGTGGTTTTAGAAGGTGAAGTTCTTGACTCTAACACAAATCTAAAAGATGATCCTCTCTTGCAGCTATTCATTAAATGGCAGGGAGCCTACTACGGTGTTTGCATTTAAGACCTCCCGGCTATTTCCACTTTTCTGAAAGAAAATAGTCTTTGCATCCGGGTGACGCTGAGTCACTCCGGAGGCCAACCGATATCTCTGAGTCAGTCAGTCCTTTTACATAATTTTCCCCTGGAAAAAAATTTATTTACCTGTAATAAAAAAATCTCCAAGGGTTAATCCCAATAGTGGGCATCTTATTTTGACCGCAGGGTCTCGTTTCAGCCCACTGTGCGCCGCGTCGATCGGGCGAAGAATTTTAGACAAAGGCAAACAACGGCCCAAATGTATTGCAAAAGTTGTTTTACGAAGTTTTACTTTCAGAATTCAATTAATAGAGCAACCCTAATGTTGCAAAAAATTAATGTACGGCGAATATATTAACACACATATGCACACACCCTCTCACATACTTTTATTGCATTCCGATATAAGTAATAAATAATGCAATTTGCTTAAAATTTTGACGCGAAATAATAAAAATGATATCGGCAGGAATTGCGACACAATCATTATGGGACTAATTATCATATTTTTGCACCCTAATTACACAGTAAGTAGGGTCAAATTGTTGACCTCGTAGCACAGTGACTTTTGAATTAATTTAAAGTATATCAACGACGTCACGCAAACTGTCAACTTTGGATTGCGTTGATTAAAAGTGATAAATATTTATTTTTTTTTTCAAAACGCTCATCAGAGTTACTTGATGTCATTGCTCTGGCGCTTCATTTCATATATAAATAATATGCATTATGATAATGAAGACGATAACTGGGAATGCAGTACTTCGAGAGCAATCATTCGAAAGGTCGTTTTGGGTACAAAATGGAAAATTCTTAGTCTTTCTAGAAAGTAGAAGTGTTTCTAGAAAAGACCGTACCCGCCTACGCTGACTAAACTTTACTTACAAACAGCATTTTTTTTTTGGTCGCAAAACCTACTGAACTTGTCCAAAAATAATATTCTAAGTCGACTCCTGCTTTATTTCAACAACCATGCGTCCAAGGCCTCCATAAGTTACGCGTTCACCTGGCTAAGAATGTGTGCTTAAATTTATGCGTAAATGTATGAGGCAATTTGAACATTCTTTGCATGAAGAATGTGCAATCAAATTTTATTGTCCTCGCAGTCAATTCGAATGGGACTCAAAAAAAAAAAAAAAAAAAAAAAACAAATTTGTGGCCAAATTGACAATGTGTAGTCGTCACCTCGACTTCAATTCAGTTCTTCTAGGACGCAAGAATGCATTGACAGTCAAAAACTGAAAACAACAACACCAGCAAACACATACAAAATTCAGGTGTCAGCACTCCAAAAGTAGCAGCCAAATGCATTCTCAATGCTCATAATTAAAATTCTGTCCGCGTTGAGCCATACAAATTGGGGCCACGGCAGCTGGCCTGAAGGAGAAGTGGATGAAGCAGCAACAATACATACACATGTATGTACGTTGTTGGCCCATTATAATGACAACTTGACTAATTTACAATTAGTTGGAACTACCTACACTTTTGTTCTGTTGCCGTATATTTTAGCGATCGGTGCTTTTTTTTTTTTTTTTTTTTTTTTTTTTTATTCGGGCGTTGTATCTCTCTTTTTTTATTTAGTTAGCAACGGAAGCCAGTGTAAAATATTGAAACTAAAGTTTTATGTTAAGGTATTTTAAGGTTGTTCGCATGCAAAACATGCATAAATAATAATAATTTAATGGCATAAAATACTTCAGACAATTAATTTTTACAATTTGGCGCTTTTGAATTGTGAATAAATACATATTTAGGTATACATATACATATATATATGTAGCACATGCGGGCATATACATACATACTCTGATATGCGAGTATTTAAGTTTTCGTAAATGTAACAGCACTTTGAATTTATTGAGTATTCTAAATTTGTATATGAAATAAATGTAGATACATTTTATTGGGGGTTTCAGCTAATAATTGATGCCATTATTTTATAAGTTTGTAAATCAATAGCTTTGAAGTCACAAGACAATACTAAAGAAATTTCAACTGGAAACGCATGAATATTCATTTCGAGAGAACAAAATTTTTAATTTGAATTAGTTTCAGTTTCTGTGTGTAGAAATTCCAGACTTATTTTGCCACAATTACCGTATTTTTCGGCCAATAATAATAAGAGATTGGCGCTTACACATATGTATGTGTTAGTCTTTGGCCGAGCTTCTAATCCGATCTGAAGCGTGCGCTTTGATGTTGTTAAACAAACCGCGATTGTAGTTTTAATGGGAAGCTGTTTTTGATGGCAGAAATACAACCGGAGGTTCGCCATTGCCTGCCGAGGGGCGACCGCTGTTAAGAAAAGACCTTTTCCCTTTCTTTTTGCGTTGTTGTTTTGACCAGTGCTTGAACCCAGGCCCTGCGGAGTGGTATTAATATGTATGGATTGTTAAATTATACCCCAAGCTTTGTTTTAGTTATAAATCAAATATTGATATAGCTTTGTTTTCCCACCCGTTATCAGTAGTTTGCTCTGTGTTTGGCATACAAATAATTTAATATGCTTTTCAGGTGAGCCCTTTTGACATGAACGCGCCTTAAGTTTGACAGAATTTACGTGATCCAAGCGTTACATAAATCATTACAATACAGATGAAAACTGTACTTAGAAGGTTGGCATATAGAAAATTCAAGTAATTCATGCAATTATGATAGGTTTCGCAGACATTTTCAGTAATCAAGTCGAAGGTAAAATGTAATTGACAAGAATAATTGGAAGCACTTATTTTGAAATTTTGATCATGCACAACACTTCAAGTCCAAGTTCATTTACCAATTGTGTATTTAAGGCAGGTAAAATAGCCAATTGCTGGCAGCTAGGCGGTAAATTAATGTTTGTCGAAGTGTGGTACGAGTTCGTGTGCAGCATGCTAAGTAGTCTGCATAAAGGTGCTCATAAACGTCAAGAGGAACTCTCATGAGACTTTCGCCATGTTGGTGTGAGAATTCTCATGCGTGTGTACACGCACATTGATTCTCACTGGAATTTTGTTCTTAAGAGATTTTTCTCTCAAGAATGATAGATTACAAGATTGCGCCCATCAGAGAGGATTTTTGAGAATAATTTTTGTGCGACGTCACACTGGTGCATTTACGAGAGAGAAGTGCCAAAACGCGAGCAAAAATCGAAGAAGAAGAAAAAATATTGCAAGCAAAACGTAAACAAGTTGCACAAGTGTGACGTCATACAAACAGCGCTTCTGTCAAATTCTCTGAGAGCGACCTGGATATTTCGGGGATTCTCGGCTCATTATAAATATATTCGGGACTACTTCGGGATTTTTAGATTATTACGGGGTTTTCGGAGTTCCCAGGACTACATCAGGATTTTTGGGATTCTCGGCACTATACTGGGATCTTCGGGACTACTTTAGGATATTTGGACGATTTCGAGATTTTTGGGACTAATTTGGAACTTTTGGCAATATTCCGGGCTTTTCGAAATTTTCGCGATTCGCGGGACTGTATGGAGATTTTTTGAACTATTTCCGGATTTTCAACACTACTTGAAGATTTTCGGTATTCTCGGCACTATCGTGGAATCTTCGGGATTTTCAAGAGCACTTGGGGATTTGTCAGACTTCGTCAGAGTTTTATAAACTTCTTTGGGATTTTTAGGGTTTTCGGGAGTACTTCGAGATTTGAAGGGTTCTCGAGGCTATATCGGGATCTTCGGGACTAGAGCGGGATTTCCGGGACTATTTTGGAATTTTAAAAACTACCTCGAAATTTTGGGTATGCTGGTAGTTTCGTAACTTTCGTTCATACATATGTATGTGTACATATGTATGAACTATATACCACAATTGACGACACGTTTTATTTTAGCTAATTAACCGACTTCAGAAAAAGGAGAAGGTTATCAATTCGTCGGAATATATTTTTTTTATGCACATATGTTACCGCATAACTTTGGAACACGTTAACCGATTTCTATAATGTTTTTTTTTTTTTTTTTAAGGAAAGGTGTTACCTCACAGGTGGTCCCATACTAATTTGGATCATGAAAAAATTAACGATAATCTTAAATTTTTATATGAGAATGGTAG